ATAGGTATAATTGAATGAGGGTTTGGACTAAATCAAATCTAACTTTATTTAATTTAATTTCCATCAGATTTATATTTTTTTATTGAAGTTACTAACAGTTTATTCATGATGTAGCAATTTAAAGGAACGCGCAGAATGTGAGTGATTAATTGATTTAATTACTCTTATTTTATTTTAATATTGCTAGTATCATGATTAGGTTGATTTTATATTTGATTTGACTAACGCTATTATTTTTAAATTGCTTCCAATATTAATGTTTATTCTATTATTATTTATTGATCACCATATTGCATGTTTAAAGGGAATATGTAATTGAAAATCACGCCTAATAAGATAATTTGGACAACCGGTTTAGGTTCCTTTTAATCTTGTTATTAAATCAAGTTATCACAATATTATAGAATTATATGTTTCATTAATATTAGACCAATTTAGCATAATAATAGTTTGGAACAAATTGAATCTTTGTTTGTATGCCTTTGAGATCGCAGAAATCACTTTTCACTATAAGAATCGAGTAGATGCCAATACGGGCGAATGTGACTCCATGACTCACTTCGTACCATCATCCCCGATCCTCCTTTCGTGGTTCCGAACCATATGGAGTTAGTAATATCATGGATTATGAATGGGGTGTTACCTTCACGGGTCAATCGTTGTTGCTTTCGTTGTCCCTTATTCGTGGTTGCCTTTTATGATCCGTGAACGGTTTACAAGTTCCTTAAAAACTTGTTGGCGGCTCCCTAGTTTCCTTGTCCCTAATCGTATACGTCAATTCCCACTTCCTAAGAGTGCCAAGCATATTCATACATGCTTTAATGTAGGCGCACTTCGAACGACGCTTACACCCACCTACCCTAAACCCACTCGAATTCACCCTAAAATCGAAACCCACGTCACCCTAAACCAATCAAAAACCACTCCAAAATCAAACGTCGCATCGTCGTTGAAGGATATCATCGATTATCGTTTTCCGGCTTTCTCTTCTTCTAAGATTTGAGTATTTTTGATGAATTTCCTGAGTGTTAATTGCAGCGGATATAATAAGAAGGTTAGGGTTGCAGCGGGTCGGGGTTAGGGTTTAGGGAGGGGAGGGTTGCAGTGGAGGTCGCCCAATGGTGGAGGGGGTCGGCGGGGGTGGTTGGTTCAAGGCGACGGCTCAATCCTTGGCTGGGAAGGAGAGAGGTTCACCGTTCACGGTGGGGCTGGTAAAGGGATTCAGGGAGGGGGTTTGTTGATTATTTTTTTTAGTTTATTTTTATGTTTTTGATTTTCATTTTTAAACCACTTAATGCTTGACACGTGGCATATCAAAAAATTAAAAAAAAAAAACAAGTTCAGCAGGTTGCTCGTTTTTTGGATTGAAGAAAAAAACACAAGTGAAAGTTGGGATTGTTGCAGAATAATCAAAAGTTGGGATTATTCAAAGTAAATGAGCCAAAGTTGGGATTATTAAAGTGTATTTTTCATATAAAGTAAACCCCACCAACCAGAGACTTTTGCTATATAACCAAAAGTGGTAGTGCTACTTAAGCTTTTCTGTATTTTTGAAGTAAGTTTTTCAAAAAAATAAAAAATAAAAAAAAAATTACGTAATTGTTCTCAAAAGTGGTTATTTAAATTGTAATTGTTGACAAAATTTCCTTAATTAAACCTAATAGAGTATTTTCTCCTAATATAGAATTAACAAAATTAGAACACATAAATTATACTTTGTATAACATAATACTCCCTCCGTATTTTATTACTTGCTCCATTTTCCTTTGTAGCCGTATTTTATTACTTGCTCCATTTCCTTTTTTTGAAAACCTTTTACAATATTTTACTAATTTTTTCTTTTCTAGTGGACTCTCAACTATCATATTTTAATATTTCTATATTTTTCTCTCTCCTCCTACCATCAAGCTCACATGCCACATGACACAGAATCGTAGCAATGATTTTAGAGGCCCTGTTCCAAATCGAAAAAGGGGCCCTTAATTATGTGAAAATTATATAATTTAATTATCTAGAATTTTTTTTTATTTAGAATTTCGACCTTCAAAAAAAATTCTTAGATACAGAGTAGTACAAACAGATCAAAGTGTATATAGTTCATCAATAATTATTACTATTATGTAATTAAGAGATTATCAACACAAATTTACCTTTACACGATTATCAATTCATTATCAAAACAGATTATGAAAACAAATTTAACTTTAAAATACTATTAAAAATTAATAGGTTACGTAATTAACTGATTATCAAAAGAGATTTACTCCCTCCGTGTTTTTTTAAGTGTTACACTTTCTATTTTCGACTGTGTTTTTTTAAGTATTACACTTCATTTTTTGGCAAAAAACTACATTAAAATATTATATCTCTCTCCTCTTATGGCCCCCCAGTCCCCCACCCAAATCCACTATTACTTTTTTATTATATATTTCCTGTCACATTCATTACTTTTCAATAAACTATTAACCCCACTATTTTTCTTTTACAATTTTTTAATACGTCAACTACCCCACTTACCTCTTATTTTATTTAAGTCAATTAAATTGTCTAAAACTATGTGCCGCTCAAACTGTAACACTTAAAAAAACACGGAGGGGGTACCTTTTTTTTAAGGAAAAATTAACAAGAATAATCCCAACTTTGCTCCATCCGCCAAAAACAATCCCTAGTTTGGATTATTTTTTAATAATTCCAACTTTATACTTTATCCGCTCAAAACAATTCCAGGTGACCGGTGACCTATCAAACAAGTTTTTTTTTATTTTTTTTATTTTAGCACTAATTAACTAAAAAAAACCACCAAATCCCCACACACCGCCTCAGGTCATCCCCTCTGGCAGGCACCACCTCCCCCCCCCCCCCCCTACCCTTGTGGTCGTCGTCCCTTCCCCTCTCCCGCCGTCAGCCCTCTCCCTTCCCCTTAAACCACCATTTCCTCACCTCAAAACACCACGAAACCATAACCACTACATACCGCAACCTCCACCACGCTTTCTTTCTCTTCAATTCTCTACTTTTGTTGGAAAATTCAACGGTTTATTGTTTCATCCAATTATCCAACAATGGCGACTGAATCTGGTTTAATTTTGACAAAATTATCAGATTCAATTTTATTTTAAGCTTTGATTTCTCATGCTTTAGGTTAGATTGGACGAATTAATTGTTTTTTTTTTCTAGTTAAATATATTTTAAACCGTTAATTAATGATTCTTGAGGTTATGTGATTTATGATACTATAAAGTCGAGTGATTGTTTTGATTAATTGATCATTAAACTGGAGTTGTTTGTGTTGAATTTAGGAAAATTTTTGCAATAGAGTTTAGTCAAGGGAAGATCATAGAAGCTTCCAAAATTAGAGGAAGCTCCTAAACCAGCAGAGGTTGATGATGGAATAGAAGCTGGTGTCTTTTTTTTTTCTTTTTTTTTCATTATGTTTTAACCTATCGTATGATGTCCAGTAACTTGTAATAGCAAGTTGGATGACCGATTGGGACTATTTTGGGCGGAAATAGTATAAAGTTGGGATTATTAAAAAATAATCAAAAGTTGGGATTATTTTGGATGAATGGAGCAAAGTTGGGATTATTTTTTGCAATTTTTTTATTATAAACAGATTATCAATAGTATAAACAGATCAACTTGTGTATAAAATACTATTAAAAATTGCTTCAATTCATTATCAAAACCAGAAAAATTTAATAAAAAAACTTATTTACATTTAAACGATTCGATGACCACAATGCAAAGAACTGAAATTGCTTCAAACCTTCAATTTGTTTTATACTTTGTATCAATTGAGAATAGATGAAGATGATTGAAAATTGATGGAAGATAGCCCATATATATATACAATAAAATAATTATCATTTGTTAACAATAATTATGAAAGATCGAAATTGATTTCTCATTGTCATTGTTTTGGAATAAAAACAATTTGAATTTGATTGAGTTTAATTTTATTTTTTTTCCGTTGAAAATCCTTGATGTAATTATGGAGGAATTTGGAAAATTGGAAAAATTAATATGGAAGGTTGAAAAAAAGGGAAAATAATGAGGAAAATCCATAGTATGCTGCTTGCTTGGCGTTATAAACAAGGAAGTTTAGCCTTTTTTTTAAATAAAAAAAAAAAAAAAAAAAAAAAAAAAAAAAAAAAAAAAACAGAATAAGAAATTAAAAAAAAAAAAAGGGCCCTTTAAATTGGGGGCCCTTTTTAAAGGGGTTCTATGTAAAGGAACACCTTGCACTTGCTGTTCTGCGGGCCTGACATGGCACATACTTTCCTGACTTTCTTTTTTGACTTTTATTTCATGTGATTAATTAAAGGTTTTAAGAATATAGACTCATAATTTGCACAATATTTAAACTCTTGATCACAAGGTTAACTAATAGGAACTCAGCCATGGAACTCAACCATTGAATCGTCCGTAGTCAGTAAGGCTTCCACAGCATGTTTTGGTTCATTGCTTCCAAACTTCTAATGTTGAGCAATTGATTTTAATGGTTATCGGTAATCAAGTTGATAAAAAGATGGTGCTAAACAAAGCTACTCTTCTCATTGGTAAGTTAATATGAGAGTTCTTTGCACTTGTACTAGCATGTCTAATACGAAGTATCTGCAAACGACAGCATGTGATGTACATGCATCCCTTCAGATGTGAACGTATAGTACTTATGTGAATGCTCCATGGACTGATAGGGAGTTTCAAACTCGTCAGCTCTTTGAGCTTTTATCGATTACACTTTCAAGGATCATTAATTGATTGAACGTAGCTGAATGTACTCTTCAGTTTCCTTTGCGGATTGTAACGATAATGAATTCGGCACTGGTAGCAACGTAAGGAGGTGAGTAGATTGCATCTTTTTTCACTGAAATCAGCATGAACACAGCCTATGTGCTTTGGATATAGAGTTCAATAAAATAAAATTTAAAATAAATTACTGGTACTGAATTCGAATATTAGCATATATTTGCATTGCATACAAAAACATTTCACATCCCTGTTACAAATAGTTTGAGATAATATCATAAATTGACATCGAAGAGTTTTACGCTACCATTATAATAGTTGTATATAAACATTACACTATCTGAGCTCTTCTTAATAATCACAAATCTTGAACTTCGCTTGATTCCCAGCAGCCTGGGAAACAAGGAGTAGGGAACAACATTATGGAAATTACAAACACATAGCTTGATTGTAACCAAAAGTTTATACATCGTTTTAAAGAAACCTACCATGGATGGGTGTCTGACAACAGAGATGGTACAAGTGTTTGTCTCTCGATCACGAGAGAGGAGGAACCTTACATGTGGGACGCTTTTCCAACTTTCTCCAAGAGCCGGCTTTGCTGAACCACCTTCTCCAGCTACCATATGATTTGTCACCTAAGCAAATGCCATCAAATATATCTGAGTCAGCGACAATACAAGTGCTATGGAATTACATCTTTTTAATGCAGGGTCAAGTATGTCAAGGTTTTCACATATTCAAGTGTGCTACTCACCAGGACACAAATACTGTATTCGTGGGCTATCTTCTTTAGCAAATTTCCAGCAGAAACCATTTGAGCATGTCCTGAAATCCATCAAATATGCAATTTATCTATTGAAAGTACCAAATGTCAACATTGGGTTGTCCCATAAAATTTAGCCATGTTAGAGACCTAGATCAGCAAATTTCTTTCATTCTCTTTCAAAAAATGGACTATTATACAACTGATGAACAATCTGATTGGAAACCCTCATAAGTAACTACTGTATTAAAAGAGTATGTGATGAGAATGACTGAGACAAGACCACAAAATTCTGGTAATGAAAAGACACAGAAAACTCTGGTAAGCGTATGTAATGAAAAAGACAGAGATAAGATCACAAATTCTGGTGATGAGAAAGATCAGGATAAGAGACATAATCTCCATAATAATGTCACTATGAAAAACACAGATTCTTTTTTTTAGCTTTATAAGAGAGGTTTGCTGTGTTTTAAAAACACCATAGCCCATAGGCTCCCTCCAATTAAGTGGTTCTTAACACAAGAAATTGCTCGTCTATCAATTAGGTTAAGTCCATCGGTGTCTGATGACAGGGTTGGACAGTTGGTCATAGAAAAGCATCACATCAAACCACATACAGCAACTTCAACCTCACGTTTACCGTAACCTAGACAAACCGGCCTAAAGCCACAGTAGGTATTATCGCAAGGAGTAAGTAAAGATATCCAGTGCATTGGTGTGGTGTTTATATCTGTTGAAAATTAACAAGTGCCAATGCCACGTAAACGCCTAACTTCTAGAAATGAGGAAGAGGAAGTAGTGCCTCCTGTATTACAGAGTTCGAATGTAAGATATAATTTAGCATGTTTCTTTTTATAGCGGAAGTGTTAATCTTGTGCGGAGCATATGGCACATGAGAAGCAAACTGAATTAAAAATTTAGGTGTCTTTCCCTTTTTTTAGAAAAAACCATTTCAAGCCTGAGTTTCCCAAAACCCTACTTCAAATTCAGAGAACTAATTAAAAGAATTACCATACCATAAAGAACTAACTAGCATAACAAAATTAAAAGCAGAGAAAATTTAGATGCTCGATTTGCACAAGAGAAACTTACCATACGGACCACCGCCTCCGAGAAGAGGAATAATGAGAGATGAAAATGAGTCCACAATGAGCAACCTCACTGAACACATCTACCAAAAACCAAAATTAAACCTAAAATCATCCATCAGAAAATAGTTTATATGCAGTGTGCTGCAAGCAAATACTAACAATACAAACCTCGTTTTTCAATTTCAACTCTAGTTGATGCAGTACATTGAACAAGGAAAAGATATCAAATACAGGGTAACACCATATGTTCTTCATAACAATATGAAGAGCTTCATTATCGGCCTACAACATCATCATGTAACAAGATAAGTGCAAGGTAGTCTTTAGACTTAAAGATCATCAAAGCTAATATTAAGAAGTTGCCTGACTGTGTACAAATTACAAAACGTAACAGCAATGTCCCTGAGGCCACAACATTGATTAAAGGTGCGAAATGAATTCAGTCAAGTACTTCAACACTCTTGGTGAAACACAAAATCAGAGGCTTCCACACTGAGCCAGAACAAGACATGTTTTCAGGTCTTATGTGAAAAAATAACACTTTTCAATACTGACAGTCTATCCAACAAATGAAAAACCAAAAATATCAAAGGTATTGGTATAAGGCAAGCACTGAGCCTGGAAAACTTGGACAAAATTTAAAAGATGAATCTAAAGCTGACAGGCCTGACACAGAGAGAGAGGGAAAGCTGCAATTTTAGCAGGTTATGTGCTTCTACCAGCAAATTCCTTTAAGAGGTAACTATGCCGTTACTTTGGACTTGGAAGAATCAAACCAATTCATCTGCTCATTCTATCAGCCTATTTTCCCTATAGCTCTTTCTGGACCAACAGGATTCTGCCCTTTAAAGTCTGTCTTTCAAGAGAAGCATGCGAACACATGGCAGGGTGAACCACCAGATTTTAATTCTTCTATCTTAACTCAGCTAACGATAAGTATCATGAATTTTCACCAGGTGGACAGATTCTAAGCAAACTAACCAATAACATTTCAACTCCAGTTTGTATATATGTAAATAATGTAATCCTATTTAAAATATGTTGCTTTAAACTAACGATACATGCATGTTATATTATGTAAGAATAAAAACATTCAAGAGCTCTGGCACCTAATGCAGAGGAATAGCACAAGGATATTAGCCAAGTACATACAAGAAAGTTGGAGAAAATCAACTGATTCCAGAAGGTAGCAAATACAAAGTTAATCTGAGCTCTGTTAGCAAGTATATTTAGAACAATGTTATAAAATCAGATGTAGGATGCAAATCAGCTTTAAAATTTGTTAACAATCGTACAATGTGTTTATACTAGATACATCATAAATATTTAAGATGTTAGCAATTAGTATCAAGTGATAACAGTCATTAATATCACAGAGATGTTGAGTAAAAAAATATAATGATCATCAAATCCTACGATAATATTCGGATACTCCCTCATACAAAGTATTGTCAAATAGCTACTGTTGTGAGATGCTTTAAAACCGCATTTCCTAAGAGAATGGTAGGCTTATGATCATATATCCCAAAACATCCACTTAAATCAAGTATACAAGTGCTGCATGAAGAGAGGGTGTGAATGGCACAACAATTAGAACAGGTCTATTGGTGAAATCATAGTTAAATCCTTGATTTTCTAGGGATTGGCATTAAGACAATGAAAGAATAATATCAAGATGGGAGGAGTCCTTCATTTCAAAAGATCATAGGCATTGCCTACTTCTCACTCGAAACAGCAGAAAGTAACCATTCCAAGGAAACATAATATACAAAAACAGCCTTACACTGAAACAAAACCATGTAACTGCAAAAGATAACTTTCCAAAACAAAACAATGCACACAAAAAAAAAAAAAGGGGGATACCTGCTTTGAAGTAGAAAATGAAGCCTGATTCACAAGGTGCGCAATTCGTGGTGCAGAAAAGGAATTTCCTGAGTCTAACAATACAACACCACTTGCGTATTCCTTTGCAACAGTTGCGGCAGCTTGGAGACATACCTAAACATTAGCAGTAAGTTTAAATCCAATGTTAAGTTTACAACATGTTCACAGTAGGTACTCTCATCCAAATATCTCCTAGCAATGTATAAAAAATAACAAGACAATCAACTGAGAATAAATTGGAAGCTAGCAAGATTCACCTGTGTTTTGCCTGAAGATGACGGTCCAACTAGTTCTGTTACAAACCCCTCTCTTAGCACTCCATGTAGAAGAGGATCAATCCTACAAACACACAATAATAGGACTCCCCAATAAGCAACATCCTCTTCAACAATGAATAACAAGGGAGTGTTCAGGCTCAAATCTTACCCTTCATAAGCAAGGAATGTTTGTTTACTTTTCTGAGCATCTTTCAGTAACTCCACACCGTTCAACAAGGGTCCATGAAGACCATCAACTATTGAAAGCACTTGATCAATTCCCTATACACCCACATTACACCCTATCACAGACAGGCACAAAACTGACATCGGTTTGAAGCATATAAGCTATTTTAATGTGGTGAAGCAAAACCTGCTTCAATCTCTCTGGATTTGGTTTCTTTTCAGTGAAGGAAATCAAAGAATTCAGATCAGAAATTAGGAAATCTTCCACTGTAGAAAAATTGAAAGTTGCATTTGTCAAATAACAAAATTAAGATTTTAATAAGTGTTGACAAGGTGTAATGCAACATAATTTCCAACTATTACATCGGCTGATTCTAATCAACACTTTCAACCCATTTATTATCAATGGCAACACTTTAACTTTTTCGCTATTCACACACCATACTTGACCATCTTTGATAGTTTACAAAGAAAAAAAAAAACGGTCATATGGGTTCCTATTAGATTATCTCAATGCATACTATGTTATCAACTTTTACAATTTATTTGTATTACTTAATTTGCAAATAATGTTATAAATGGTTGATGTTATGCATCGACCAAACAAATGAAAACTTTGCAACAAAAAATAAACGGAGAGCAATACACTTTTAACATGAACTGCCTATAAGAAACGTTTCGAAAACAGGAAGACCTCAAGCCCCACATATTCCAGAGCTTCATTAATACAGAAAAGGGTAAACCGTAAACCTAAGGTCCCAGAAGTTTCAGTTCTTTCTAGCACATTACTAACTCCATTATCCCATTAACAACTGAAGAAACTCACTGGGTATCACAGAAAATGTATAGCAATACAAAATCCCAGCAAATCGGAGAATTCCAACTAATTAAGGATATTAAAAAGGTAAAATTAATAAAGGGTTTTGTTTAGTTGGAAAATTTCAGTGTTATATATACACCCAATTAGTAATATTAGTAGCAATAAACCAAATTAAGCAATGAATTTATAACTTTGAAGAGAGAGAAAATTGAAGAAAAGATTACCAGTGAAAATGCCACGAGACCCGCAAAATTCGAGGAAGATGGAATCGATTAAGGGGTAATTCTCTTGCATTGATTTAAGCATTACCATTTCTATTTTCTGTTAAGATGGAATTGAAATATGGAAGATGTTGGGAATTCCTAGATTTTATACTTACAGGCCCTTAGACTTGCATCAAATCTTTCAAGCACAACGAATACTAATTCCTCCCACCAATTTGTTGCACCTAGACTTTTTAATTTTTTACCATCTCCAAATTCGGCTCAAACCCAACCCCTTTTTTTGGGTTTTGAACAATTTTTTTTTACTCGAAGTCCAATACAGCTGGAAACCGTACCCACCCGTAAATTTGCTGGTCAAATACTCAAATCAGACTCACCAAACCCGAGCCCTCGACCTATTTTTTTTTTATTTATTTTATTTTTTTGAAAATACGTTTATTTGAAAATGAAAATCTACTATAGCTTTACAATTGAATTTGATAATTTGTCCACAATCCTACATCCAATTCTCTTTCTCATCCATCTTATATAATTCTTTCAATCCACACCAACCACCTACTACATCAAGTCACCAACCATCGACCCGCACCAATTGCATCCGCATAACCCACATCAAATATCACAATCATTCCATTGATTACATAACCTACACTACCGGCCACTAAGCACTATATTTTTTGTCTATAGTTTAAATTTTGTATATATAACCAACTACTTTTACACTATATCTTTACTTTGTAAGTAATTGTTAAAGTGTATTTGTAACACCCTAGAAATTTTTTTCCTTCAAAATACCTGTTTTGCTCTCTTTAAAACTCAAAATAGGAAAATCTAAGATATTACCGCCATCGTGAAAACGGCTAAGGCAACTATCAAATACACACATCCGAAGACTATCTTTTAAAACATTCAAAACAATTCAACTTTAAAAGTCAACCAAGCGAAAATGAAGTCAAGTCAAAGTAAAACGAAGTCAACCTACAATTTGGAATCATTGTAGCCCCTTATTCAAAATCAAACCAACTTAGAACCTTTGCGTTAGTCTCACAAGCATAATAAAATAAAATAATCAAAGCAATAAATCACATCATAAACTTATGGAAACTAAGCATGATTCGCTCTTCACTCATGCCCATTATGAATATGCTTCATCATCTGAAAAGCTTCTCTCTACTTGTCTCCACTACTTTTCATTAAAAATTGGTCATCGTAGGGCCAAAATAAAGACAATGCCAAACAAACATACAAATGCACAATCAGCAATGTTGAGTATATAAGCGTAAATAAACACACTAACATGCTTTCACCTATCATCACACAACTTACCTTGTTGGCTTGTTGCACCTGTTTACAAGCATACAACATACAACATGACCTTCAATTAAATGATTAATTGATTCATTTAGCATTGATTACGGATCGAACGGGTTTTCTCCCTAACTTGCTCCAATAAAGAGGTAGTAACACGATAGCTAACCGTGCCAGTAAATAAATAAATAAAATAAAAAATAAAAAATAAAAAATAAAAAACTCGTAAGTGGCGAAATTCTTGCCTATAATAATAAAAGAAAAATACAACGTTTTGTACTCCCAGTAGAAGTTATGGTTAAATATAAAATCACATAACTCCCCCCATATGTTCATACTCAAGGTATATATGTTCCAAGAATTTTAGTGTGTAATCTTTTTCACTTTACGTTATTTACATATTATTAGACTTGGTGATGACTCTCAAACCATAACACAATCAAACATTATAATTATTCAAACAATTAAACATACCAATTTAACTCTTGAATAATTAGTGACCACATAATATTTTATGTTAAACCCTTTTTAATCTACATCGGTATCAAAGACACCTTAAACGCATAATGTGCCAAAATTCATATCACTCGGTATTAAAAACACCTTAAGTGCACTAAGGCACCAGTATTTAATGTATTCCTTGTGTAAATAGACACTTAAATAGCTCTTTCCTCATGCTTATAGCATCAATAAAAATTATATGAACCATAATAAAATTCCTTTTTAATATTCCAAACCAAAGTAAACATTTAGTTTAATTAAATATGCTCTCTATCATGCGAATAATAAAAGTGTGGTTCATATACAACATGCCAAATTAATTATTTTCCTTCACTAATCCATCACAAATAATTCATGCTTCATAATTTAATTACCAACATCAACCAAATAATAAATTATAATCAAAATCTATCATGATACTATTTGGAATCAATTATTCAAAGCATAGCATGTTCCTATATCACCAAATAAACATCAAGTACACAAACGTACGTTGAATACGATCTTAAAATCGTCATGACTATATGAAATCATTCACTTGGAAGTCTCCTACAATCCAAAATTATAACAAGGCCTTAAAATTTACTCCACACAAATTTCCATCTGTATATACCCTCATTAAATCACTCGTAATCTATTTAAAACAAGCTGGAAATTAATTAAAAACCCCTTACTTTAATCCCAATCAACGGGTAGTCAAAAGTTCCTTCAAGAAACTCAATTATAGCTTACTAACAAAATTTTCAGCTTTATTAAATCATTAAAACTTGCTGTAAATATATTTTAAAACCCTCAAATCAAAGATTTAAACCACCCTAAATCTTATTCCTTTAATATACAATAATTTAGAAACCTAGGGTTTTCAACTTGGGGCTTTTTAATTAAAAATCAAATTTGAAAATTTATTTATATACTACCTTTAATCAAACATCATGAAAATGATCACAATACCAATAATTAATATTTAGTTTAAGGAATTAAAACAAAAGAATTAAAAATAATAATTTTTTTTCAAAAAGCCGCAAGCAGCAACAGCCACACCCGCCGGTGTCACCGCGGTTGCTGGGGCTTGCGCCAGTGGCTGTGGTGGTCAGCTGGTGGTGCGTGGTGGTGGTGCTGGCCATGTAAAAAAAAGGGGAAGGGGAATTAAGAAAGAAAAGAAAAATAAGAGATAAGGGAAAGAAAATTACCTTGGGTATTCTCCACTCTGGGCAAAGTTTAGTTGGCCCATGTGTTGAATATTTATCCCCCCTTTTGACAGGGTAAAGTCGTATCCCCAAATCAAAAGTAATACCTAAATCCTCTAACTAATGTAGATAGGGAAGTAGGGTCGAATCCACAGAGAAACGAATCTTTCTATTCCTAATTAACTAAAATGATCTAGATTATTAGGTAACCAATATGTGAATTTGAATAATAAACAAAACTATGGAGATCAAGAATAGGGAGAAAATAATATATAAAAGGATCTAGGGCACAGGTTCACCAATAAATAATATTCCAGGGTAAAATATAATAATCATTCATCAATGCATATATTAATCAGATTATAAAGGGCTTTCGCTACGTATTATAATCACACAATTAATTTATCGGTATTAAATCTCATCTTTTGAATCTCGACCTAACCATTTATAAATTAACCTGCCTATTGAAACTAGAACTAAACATCAATTCTCATCTGTCGAATCTCGAATCAATATTGTCAAACTCATGCATAAAAGATCAGGCCTAACCTAGTCACATAGCATTAAATCAATCAATAGGAAATTAATCTAGCATTGACAATCAACAACAATAAATTACCCCTTCATATTATTTATGGATTCCCATAAACCCTAGAAAGAAAACTACTCACACAAAATAGAAACTAAACTAATCAAAGCAATAAAGCAAGACATGATTAAAGGAATAAAATAAACAACTAAGATTAAGAGAAGAGAAATCGTTACCAAAATAAATCTGGAATTAAGAATGGATTAAGAACAAAAGTATCTGAGAGAGAAAATCTAAGAAAATAATTAAGGGAGTAAAGAAAAATAGAGAGAGTGTGTGTAATCGTATTACGGAGGAGTATTTATACTCCGTACAAATCCTAAATTAAAACAAACTAAAACGACGCTAATCGTCTCCTAATAAATACACGCGCCCGATCAGGCGAGGCACCGCCAGATCGGGCGCGCCTTTTTGCTCAATGTACTAATCTCGCGCCCGGCCGGGCGCGTCACCGGGCGCCAGTCTTAGCTTCTCCTGCCCGGCCGGGCGCGCCTCCAAGCGCCAGCCTCTTTGGTCGGGCGGCTCTCTTGGGCCACTATATGGACTACGATTGGGCTCCAATTCTTCGGGCCAATATGGGTTTCCTCTTCCGGTCTTGAATACTCGGTCCAAATGCCCCGGTATCACCTATACCGAGCCCTTAATCACCGGTTCGATGGCTCTAACCGGCCCTGGGCTATAAAATCTGGTCGTGTTTCTCCAATGCTCGTGATTGCTCCAAAATATCTCGGGAAAATACTCCAAAATCATAAATCCCTGCAAAAGTCAAACAAATCAACGAAAACACTAGAAAACACCAATTAGTAATAAAAGTGGTCTAAAGAGCCAAAAACACTACTAATTACGACCAGGGGACGGGGGTAAAATACTATATAAAACAGACGCATCAAACTCCCCCAAGCCAAACCTTTGCTTGTCCCTAAGCAAAGATCTCATCAATGAATCAATAAATATGCATCACCCCAAAAGTAAAATTCAAGCACAAACGATCCAGGGTAAATCAAACAAACATGCTTCAAAATCAACCAATCAAATCCATCTAATTACCAATCTTCCCTAACGATTGTCAAACAGACCAAACCACAAGAGCATATAGAATTCAAGACTAGTGCTCACGCACTCAACTCTCATTTTTGTGGCGAGTAAAAGATGTACTCGATCGCTCCCCATCCAACCCCTTTATATGAACAATGCCCTCCCAACTCACACTCTCGTGTGTATAAAACAATGAACGCTCAATCCTACTAGTCGACTCGAAATATGTCAAATCATAACTTGCATTGATAAACAACACTTTCACATTCATACAATTATATGCACAAAAGTCGGAAAGTCTTTAAAGCTTGTAATGTAAGGCTAGGGTAAAGGGTAGGAATCATTTGGGAACAAGTGAGAGAAAAGCTATGCTTAAGGGAGCAAATCCTATCAAACCCATGATCAAAATAAATAATGATCAACATCTCCTACATAACCAACTCTAACATCAACCAAATATACTCCAATCATAATAAACAATCCCAACTCTTACATATCACTCATAAAATATAATAATGAAGGAGTGGAGTGAATAAACAAACCATTTTTCCAAACTTGAATTTTTCATTGAAGCTCCTTTTTTTTTTTTTATCAACCTCCAACTAGAACATGTGAATAATGAACAATTTTTTCTTTTCTTTTGAAGTTCGCTTATTTTTTTTCATTTTTTTTTTGAACTTCTCTTTTTTTTCATAACATCATGTTTATTTTTTTTTCCAAGAAAATATAACTCTCAAACTCATCAAAAATAAACATGATAAAAAACAAAACAACTTCTCAAAACCTACCCAAATTGTGCAAATATTAAGCACACTACAAACTCCCTCACCTCACTAACTAATAGCTCCCCCAAGCCAAGCTTGGGACTAGTAACCAATGGGGCAAAATAGGCTTGTAATATGGCTAATAAAACAACAAAAGTCAAGGCAACAACATGGGTAGCAAGAAGGGAACAAATGTATCTACAATCATCTGGAGGCTACCTAAAAGAACAAATG